GTGGCACGTTGAGACAGCAGGAGGAGGGGGGGGGAGGGGGGGGGTACGTGAATGCATGCCGTAGTTGTTATGCCTCGCGAAGCCCGAAGGGGGGCCGTAGTATAAGGGACTTGGGGCAGAACCACTACTTACTCGAAGCAGGAAACGAGAATCCGCCAGAGTTCATGCTAACAACACATACGCGCGATCGTTCCTTGTACGCAAGTAGATGAACAGACCCGGCGGGAACATCCTGGAGGTAGAACCAGCCCATTGCGCAAGGCAGTGCAGCGGAAAACGGAAGACGTGTGCTCAGCGGCGGTGGAGCGCTTGCCACGACCACTAACCCCACACAAATCCAACCAGCCTCCCCTGCGTAGAGTCTGACTACAAGAAAGTCTTTTTCTCTACACGAGAAAACAAGAGACATTCTTTAAAGCACCCTAGTGCAACCAACCACTACCCCCGCCCCCCCAACACACAAGGACTCACGGTGAGGCGCTTGAACATTCTCTCCTCTTGCACGATGGCGGCGACGGCCCCGAGATCCGTCTCCGTCTTCCTCCACGAGGCCAGGTGCACCAAGAAGCGCGGTGGCGAGGACTCGGTCAGGCTACCTGTGGCAAGCGACGCCCACATCGCCCTGGCAGCCTGCCCGTCGGGCACCTTGAGACCGGACGTGCTCGTCACGCCGCCGCCGGCCGCGATCGAGGCGCGGGCGTCCGCAGCAACGGCCGCATAGGCAGCGGTGGCGGCAGCGACGGCGGCCACCTCGCGAGCCTCTTCGATGGACCGGGGCACCGCAGATACCGAGGCGGCCGAGGCCGGGGGGGGAGGGTAGGCGTCGGTGGCGCCCGGGAGGATGGAAGGGGGCTTCAGCGACGGCGGCGGGAGGGTCACCGGCGCCGGTGCGGCCGAAGTGGACGCCACGGTCGTACCGGCCGAGCCCCCGATGCCCGGCAGGGTGGGGACAATGCCCGGCAGCGCCGCAGGGGCGGAAGCGGCTGCGGCAGCGGCGGCAGCGGCGGCTGCGGCTGCGGCTGCGGCTGCCGCGGCCGCCGCGTTGGGGGCGGTGTTGACGACCCCCGTGGAAGGGTCGTAGATCTCGTCCATCGACTTGCTGTCCATGGCGATGTTCGCCAGCAGGTCCGCGCGGACGTTGAGCTTGCGGGGCACGTGGTGCCAGGTGCACTTGAGCTGGTGCTGCTTTACTACCTCGGATGCCTGGCGGGGATGGGACACACGGAACGTAGGGTGGTGGAATACCACATTATTACACGGAATGACACCAGGGAGAAGGGATACGCGAGAGGCGGAAGATGGGTAGTTGGACCTCTATGGGATGCCACACTCTTAACGGAATCCCACCCAGCAAGAAAAGGGGCTATGGGAGAGGCGGAAGGTGGGGCGGATGGACCTTTTATGGGATACCACCTTTTTTTACGGAATGCCTCCAGTCACGAAAGGGGTGCCAGGGAGAGAGCGTCAAGCTCAGCATTCCCGGCCGAAAACAAAACGGTACATGTAGAAGCATCAACACAGTGCCACCACCATCGTCGCACGGCACATGGCATTTCTTGCTGATTGAACCGGTGTGTAATACGGTTAACCGGCTTCTCGGTACGGGAAACCAGTCCACAACGTACTAATGGGGCATGGAGGCCACCACCCACACAAGACACGACGACGAGGAGAAGCACGGTTCCTCGCTACCGCTCTCCTGAAATGGCTCACATAATAACATAAATCTTCTCGTTTTCATTCGACGGAACCGTTCGAGCGTCAACGCGTGTGGATCAGCGATGTCGTGGTGGCAAGGCTTAGGCTGAGGCTTACCTGGCGGTGAAGTCCAACTAGCTTCGGCGCCGAGACGCGCCACTTCCCCATCATCTGCAGCAAGACAGTAGAATGCACCGAGAAGAAGGAGCGATGATATTTTTCATGTGTTTTTTCCATGTGTCAAGTCGAAGTCACAACCTCGTGCACATGCACCAGACGCGCAGGCTCAGGAAGGAACGCGATAGCCATTTGGGCCAAACGGAACCCGAAAGCACGTACGGCTCTCAGTAACAAGAACGAACGACTCCAATACTGACAAGAAAACAACCTCCCGTCCTCGTCCGTGTCATTGGCTTCCGCGTGACCCCCGAACTTGGAAACACACGGGCTGCATGGCACAGGCTTACATGGTGCAAGAAACGGTTCAGCATTTTTCGGACAAGCGGTGCTTAGTCTGGCATGAACAACCGCAGAGAGGGACGAAAGCGGGCTGCTCCCGTGGCATTTGATCAAGTTACGTCGCGGAGTACTTTGGCCTTCATAGACAGCAGGGGAGAGGCAAAAGGCCAAAAAGTCGGACGAACCTCTACCGGAACAATCGAGCAAGCATCCGCCACACACAAGCAAAAACATAAACGACGGTCGCGCCGGAGAGAGGGCGATGCAGCTGGTCTCATCGTGGTTGCTGTTAGATGGCCGTCCCAACCTTTATCCACTTCCTGCACGAAGCCGGTACTACTCAACGATCAAATCACCACTAAACGATAAAAAAAAAAAACACGAGTTAAGAAAACATGGTGCGGTTGAGTGATCTTTCTCTGCGGATGGGTGTTGTCTTCACTTTATATTGACTTTTAAGGCCGTTCCGGTCTCCGCTCAGTACCTTCTAAAGTTCGTCCTATAGTCTCCGTTCAGTACCTCCACAAGGTCCGTACTGGTCCAGCCGACGCCGACGCCTTCCGTGATCAAAGTCAACCACTCAAGCACCTTTCTACTTATAGCAATCAAACAACGGACAATGCAACGGACCGTCCTCCAAACGCGATAATAGCATACCTTAACAGAAAAAAGTGAAGAATATGGTATGATTTACCTGTTGAATGACCAGCATAGAATCGCCCTTGACCACGAGCTGCGTGATACTAAGCTTAGCGGCGGCTTTGAGTCCGAGGATGACGCTCTCGTACTCGGCTTCGTTGTTGGTCTTCCCTTCGCCCAGGTACTTGTACCCGCTGGAGAACAACACCACCAGCACGCCGAAAGGGGCGAGGGAGTAGCAACACCACCGTTAGCGCAATGGGATATGTAGCTCGTCTGCCAACCTCCTGAAACAACTATCATCAGCAGCAACATCCCCGCACAACCGCTAGCGCTCTCTCCCCCTGCAGCTTTCCCCTCCGAAACACCCAAGTAACATAACCCCACCAACCCCACCTGTATAGCTCCTTCTCGCTATCGTTAAAGATAACCGCGCCCGCCCCAGACGGGCCGGGATTGCCTCGGCAGCCGCCATCGAACCACAAGGTCGACCATCCCGCCGGAGCGGGGTTAAGCCCCCCGCCTTCATCGACCAGGTTGGCGTAGTCCGTGGCTTCCTCCGGTGTCTTGAATTTCCTGAAGTCGGCGCCCGGGAAGCCGTTCGTCTTTTTTTCGCGCGGGGGGGGGGGGG